TAGCGGTCATCATCGATTTTGCGATAGTGGTCGCCTGGCGTCTTTGATAGTGGTCGCTATCAAAGACGCCGGGCGATACAGCAAAAGTGTAGCGCTAGCCGGTGTTGAACCATAGCCGCGAGCGTTCAATTCTGTTACCTGTTCACGTAAACCGACTCAAGGGGTTCTTTTTTTAAAAACACACATGGTTGTCATGAATAAAAATCGATCCGCATCCAGATCAGTAGCTCGCTGGTTGCTGGACTGAGGCGTCCTACGTTCAACTTAGGCCGCACCAGTCGAGATGCGCTGATGGGGGTTTACTGCGGTTTAAATGAGTCCACAATATATTCTTCAATGTAGCGCTCGACTTTTTGCCGCACTGCTCTTAGATCAGGGACCGGCACAGTCTAGTTTTAGTGTTTTCGGAAAAAAAAGTCTCACTGTCTTTCGAGAATTTGAAGAAGTCTTCTTTGACTTTCATCGGAATTCTATCAATTTTTGTTGCAAATCATCTTTGAAAAAACAAGAGGAAAGCAATGCTTCAGAAGCACAAGGGTTTAATATTGGGACGCGATATTTAAAAAATCTGTTACTAACGTCGAATTCCCACGGTATAGCGGTCGTAGTACTGGTTTACCAAACGTAGGCACGTGGCAGTTGTTGAAAGTTAAAAAGTACGAAAACAAATGCTTAGGTTGGAGGTTTAGCAGATTTTTCTACACGTTCAAATGTCTGCAGGGCCACGCTTGCTTTACGCATGAAAGTTGCCTGTAACGAAATGAAGGCAAAAAAAAGAGGAAAAGCAGCGATATAAAAATATATATTCTTGCTCGTAAATAGTTTTTTACGAAGGGATTCGTCTGTGGTAGAATCCAAAACTTATGTGAACGTATAGAAGTATGAGGTTGATGCATAATTTCTGCACCAAAATAGGTACAAACCGCAATAACTCGGAATAATCCTATATCCCAAGTAGGATTCAATATATCATTAGATAGCGCAAACCTAACTCTACAAGACTCAAATATCTACACCAGCCTCGATCCGCGAAGTTTTAAACCGAAAACTGAAAAAAACCATGCGTCCGAAAACCTTAAGACCAATCAAAACAAAATTGTAACTTCGTTCAAAAAACTCCTACAAAATTTCTTTTTTGCTCACGCGTAAACATTCCACGTAAGACATCTACCTATGCGGTTCCTGTATTTTTTTACTCAGCTAGACAATGAGAAAACGAAGTTTTCCATGTTTTTGCCACAGCGTCCGGTCTGAAAAAAAGTCATCTAACCAGCGCCCAAGGCCCCCGCCAGAGTGCCAAAGCCACGCCAGCGCTGCACTGGCTGGGCGCCAGTGCAGCGCTGGCGTGGCTTTGGCACTCTGGCGGGGGCCTTAGGCGCTGGTTAGATGACTTTTTTTCAGACCGGACGCTGCATTCAAAAAAAGGAAATGAAAATTCGAGAGGGAGAGAAAGAGAGAGAGGGAAAGAGAGCAGGCAAAATTCGACTGGACATAGGTTGTGCTTTGTTTTTGACGCAAAAGTGAAGGTGTTATCTTAAAATTTTTTATGCAGAAGTCGGACCAAAATTCAGCCAAAGCGAGCTTTAGAGAGAGGTTGTCAGAAAACTGACATGCTCCATCACGCCGCGCAAAAAGCGCTCGTAATTTAAATACAGCTAAAGTAAACAAATTGCTTTTTTACAAAAACGCGGTGATATGACATAAAATTTGGAGTGTATGCACGGAATATAATTTGCAGAAGAGTTAGTAAAAAGTTTTAATGACTCTTTTAAAAAGAGTACCATATACTTCTATACGTTCACATAAGTTTTGGAGTCTACCATAGACGAATCCCTTCGTAAAAACTATTTACGAGCAAAGATATATATTTTTATATCGTTGCTTTTCCTCTTTTTTGCCTTCATTTTGTTACAGGCAACTCTGATGCGTAAAGCAGGCGTGGCCCTGCAGACATTTGAACGTGTAGAAAAATCTGCTAAACCTCCAACCTAAGCATTAGTTTTCGTACCTTTTAACTATCAACAACTGCCACGTACATACGTTTGGTAAACCAGTACTACGACCGCTATACCGTGGGAAGTCGATGTTAGTAACAGATTTTTTAAACTTGTAGCAGTCGGCTTATGTTCACTTAAGAAGGCTCCACTACTTGGTCGATTAACGCTGTCAGGATGGCATTATTTTCTACGTTATTAAAGGCCCTCTCGTAGTCGATGATGTTTAGGACGAGAGGAGTCGGTACTCTCAACGACTTCGGTGACCCTCGAAACCTCCTGGATGTGATCCAAGCGACTGAGTTCTTTGCGAAACCAAAATTGGTTTGGAACTAAGCGGCAAATTCAACTGTAGTTTTACATTTTCGTTCGCTCTTTTTAAAGAGAAAGACAATCCCTAAAATTCTTCACTGGTCGGTAATCCTTTTTTATCTGAAGGTAAGATGCTAGATAAGACGCGAGAATCTCACGTAGCCTTTGCTTGCAGAAGTTTGACGAAAAGATCCAAGAAGCCTTAAAGTCTTTACAATTAGATCGCGGTACGCACTTTGTAGGCAGAACGAAACAGCGGGCATCGGCATGGGGGTTGATGAGGAGGAGGTTAGTGTAAAAGTTCTTCGCGATAGCTTCCATGTTATTAGGTTGGAAAGTAAGTTTGCAACTCATTCAATAACGCTCCTCTCACTCAACTTGGCGCACTCAAATTTTGCCACTGTTTTGGTTATGACATAAGCTGCAAGCGCAGCTGCTGTTCTACTAAATTCTGACGTCGCAGTGAGGGTTACGGTAGATATATGGTATAGAGGAAAAAATTATAAAATTTGACAGATTTGGCTGAAACTTGGCATAGAGGAGTTACTCGACATGCTGATCACGAAAACGATTCTGAAGTCGCGTGATAGGGGTTTTTTGTAAGATTACTGTAGGTGTTCGACATAGGGTCCCATCCTAAACAAGGAAACAGGCGCTGATTCAACAAATGAATATGATATTCGTGTTTAGCTTTTAAAGAACCTCAATATGTAAAGTCTTGGGAGATTTTGTGGTACTAACTTCTTAGTCATTGACAGTTGTCACCAGAAGCCTTGCGTACAGCAAGTCTTTCAAAATTGTGAAGGCGCCAAATTTCGACCTGCCCCTAAATTTTACTTCTTTTTTGGTGAGCCGAATAAGTCAGCATGTAGCAACAATTAGTACACTATTTCTGATTACTGCGCATGACCTAGACTGCCAACAACTCATTTTTGCCTTAAAATCCCAAAAATCTTAAAATTTACTAGTTTTCGAAAAATGCTCGGAATTTTTTAAAGTCGTTTTCAGAATTTAAATAATTCTGTTCAATTGTAGCTCACATTGCCTTCTACATAATGCCAAAGTTTGAGTACGCCACATCCAAAGAGGTTTGAGTCTGAAAGTAGTTACAAAACTTAGTTTCCAGCTTAATATATTGGGAAGAAGTGGAGCCTCGTCTTCGCTAACAGTGCATTCTGGTACGTAATATTCACAATGGTCCCTTCGTCACTTTTTGAAACTTCGGCTGCTTTCAGTATCTTAGCTTGCCTGTACTTGATAGGTTCCACGACTTCATGGATCGTCTACGGCTTCATGGATCTCGTCAAACTTCTGCAAGCAAAGACTACGTGAGATTCTCGCGTCGCATCTAACATCTTACCTTCAGATAAAAAAAGGATTACCGACCAGTGAAGAAATTTAAGATTGTCTTTCTCTTCAAAAAGAGCGAACGAGAATATAAAACTACAGTTGAATTTGCCTGTTGAGTGAGCTGTACAAGCTTTTCACAAAAATTACTTCACGCTCGCATATCCAGGACGCTGGATGAAGCTTAGTTCCAAAACCATTTTGGTTTCGCAAAGAGCTCAGTCGCATGGACCACATCCAGGAGGTTTCGAGGGTCACCGAAGTCGTTGAGAGTACCAACTCCTCTCGTCCTAAACATCATCGACTACGAAAGGGCCTTTGACAGCGTAAAAACCAATGCCATCCTAACAGCGTTAGTCGACCAAGGAGTGGAGCCTGCTTATGTGGACATGAGCCGACTGCTACAAGGACTTTACAACGACGATGAGCTACTCCATCCCCCTCTTGACCGTTCCAACCGAAAGGGGATCCGACAAGACGACACAATCTCGTTCACTGCGACCTGCCGTGGATGTAAAATCGTTGGAGTGGTAGAAAAGCACATGGGTTGAGGGGGTATTCCGGGTATTCGTTTTACGGAATCGAAATCGTTCTCTCTTCGGCAGTATCACCAAAGCAGAAACAATGCTGAGGGATTTCTATGAAGTAAGAGAGATGAGCGGATTGGGAATAAATTGGAAGAAGACCTCAGTTTTTAGAAAACTCCTTTGCAGACGGGAATGAAATTGGAAGGCACTTCTATTTTGGAGACGAGACCCTTTTTACGTGTATTTTGGACGCTCGATGAACATTGAGAATGACTTAAGAGAAGACTTACTCCGAGAAGAAGAGCAGCCTGGGCTACCTTCGAGCCAAGGAAGCCACCGACCAACTGACGGGCCCGGAGCTTTGAGCCCTCCTGCTTGGCTCAGTCATCTTCTTGGGACACAAACAACAATTTCTCGGATCGAAGGCGATGAGAACAAATTCTTCTCTCCGTGACAGTGCGGATCATGTTGCGAAAAAGCGAAGCACAGATGAGCCGGTCACTTCATGAGAAGAAAAGACGACAGATGGAGGTTAAGGACATCAGAGTTGATACTGCGCGGAGGAAAACCCTCCCAAGAAAAACTTTTAGCAAGTTTGGCAGACGTATTCGTGGAACGGATGGATTGCCTGAGAAACTAGATGGATGCGATTTTCGCACCTGGAACTCGTAGACGCAGCCACCGACGTCAGTTTGGAAGATCGTGGGTGCTAGAAAAAAACAGATAACACTGAAAGCTTCTGCGCTGGGTCTCGCACGTTATCTGAGGACGGGCCATCTAAAGATTTAGATAATTGAGTAAGGGAGAAAAAAGACATTACCTTTAATATCTTCATTATAGCCTTTCGCGGAACAACTGCACTCAGAGATGATTTGAACAATGGAAGCGGGGAGTCTTTCAACTGTAAAAATAAACAACATAGACAGCATATGGTTTTTGAGCTGTCAACTTTATGAGGAACATCTGCTAGACAGAAGACATAGCATGGCAACGAGATTTTATTGTGAAAATACTTCAATAATTAGTAAAATATTGGGAATTGAGCTCGCTTTTTGCTGTCTATTTTCATCGATTCGTTTTGTTATCAGTGTGAACTGTAAAATATTTTTAAAGGTTAGTGAGTGGCATGAAATGCATGGCTGCTTTCTAGAGTAAATGAATCATGCGGAAGCGCAGTAGTGTGCTATTTTACTATATAATAGGTTGGTCCGAAAGTTTGTGCCCTTTTTCATACCATGCTCGTACCATTTAACAATGATAGACAAAGTTCTAAACAGCTTTCGATGCAGAATTTCTTCCTCCTTTTGACGGTTATGCTTTTGTTAGAGTCCCTCGTTATCAGCTCAAATCGCCAAGTTCTCGAACCCATAGTGTTTTCACATATCCTAAGTTTTGATGCAACTGATGCAACTTTTTCTCCTTTTTCTAAAAGACTTTCTGACTTTCCGATTTGTGTAATACATGAGGATAAATCATTATAATTTGTTTTGGAGTCCGATATTTCAGAGCGCTAAAGCTCAGTTGCTTGATAGAATTTAGCATTAAGTAATGAGCTGTTTTTGAAAGCTTCAGTTTCAGGAAATTCATCAGTGTTGGAGGTGTGCATTTTACGACTTCATGAAAAGACTAAGAAAGATTATACCGATTCTGACGTTTATTTGAGCAGACATTAAAGGGATTTGAACAATTAACCGCCTTAAAGAGAAGGCCTTTTGCATCGAACTTTTTCTAGAGCGTTTGTCTATTATTATTCTAACAAGGGAAGGATACTTGGTGACCGTAGGTTTTTGATGAGACGTGCTTCATTGTATGCATCTTGAAGCGCATATTCCAAATCTGTTTTCTTATCTGCTGTGCGCTCTTCCGAAAGAAGTTCTAAAAAATTTTTACCATCAAATTTCGCACTGTTTGATTACAGGATCCAACAATATTATCAATATGTTCACTTACGGACTACAAAAGACCATCCAAATAAAATAAAACTTTCTGCTGAGCTCAGGACTGTCTCCGATATATCCAAGTCTAAAAAACCTGAATACTGTCGATTCTGACTGACCAGATCTCGTGAACTCAACATGGAAAAAAATCCAAACTCCGTTCAAAAAGTCGCACAGCAGATAATGAACACAGATCTAGAATTTGCGTTCTAAGAAGCATTCACTGATTTATATTCCATGCAAAAGGCCACGGTCACCAAGTATCTTTTCCTTGTAAGTGGTTTGGGCATGGGCCTGAAAAACGAACTTTTAAACCAAGCTAACATGTATCAGCCTCAAATTTTTTTTACCGTTTTTACTTTCTCCCGCATAAACTTATAATGGTCTTGTCTCATAAATAGGTTTTGCGGTATCGTTCGACAAAGCAAAGCAAGCTCTAGAAGAAAACTAGACAATTGCTTAAAGTTTGTTCTGCTTGAAGTTTCAAGCCGAAATCTAACAGGATCTTAATTTTTGAAAAATGGAGGAAAAAATCACATTTCCATCCAAAAGATTTCTACGTACTTTCTAGCTCAGACATGTACTACCCGCTTCCTGCATTCATTATTTTTTACATTCTCCATCGCTGAAAGGAAAAAATATATTATATTTTGCCGAAGCTGCATTGGGCTAAAACGCCTAAATCTACAGTGTGAACTTTCGGAATCATAACCATAAATTATTAGCATTTTGCGATTGTTTTTTGATGTATCAAATATAGCACAAAATACACCATCGCGTTTTTTGGCATAAATTTGGTATATGTATGTTTCTCGACTTCTAGACATGGAAAAATTGGCGATTTACAGATAACGAGTTGGCATCCCGGGTTCTACCCCGGTTTTGAGAAAGTAAATCGTACTTGACTTCACATGTAGCAAAACCCACCCTTCTTCTGATTCCTACTCGTCTTGGGTTCGCCTCCCTATCGTCCGTACAATATTTCGATGACCAGCAGATCAAAATGAGTATCACCGCTCATCCTTCATGACTATGCGAAATTTGCACAAACATGCAGATTTGCTGCTCTATATAGATAGAAATTAGATTTAAAAAGTATGTGCATGAGCAAGTAAAAGCTTGTAGGGTTCGGCTTCAACTTTATGTGAGATGAACTCTAAGCATTATCTAAGTGCGATCTTGTAGAGCTACTTTGCCCTGTCGAATAGTGCCGCATAACTTATTCTTAAAAATTACAAATAAACTAATTTCAGGTGTATAAGCCGCACCATTTTCGCTCTAAACGCGAACACGCCAAAAGACTGACTGTCATCATGGAGCGCGTTAAGTGAGAGCAGTATGCGATAAGGCGACCGCTTCGCGAGGCATATGCGCGGCGGCACGCCTGGGTCTTCTCGCGTTTAGAGCAAAAAGGGTGCGGCTTATACACCTGAAAATAGGGTATATGAGTTCCGCTTCCAAACATTTTACTTTGATTGCAATCTTTCCAAACAATTTTACTTTGATTGCAATCTTTCCTATTAGTCAACCATGAGCGTCCTAGATTCACAAATTCTGTGTGCGTTACACAAAGACAAAAGAGTTTTATAAAATCTTGAAGTTACTTTTTTCCCTTCGAGGCGATGCTTTTGAAAAGTCGAAAACTCGCTGTTCACAGTATTATTGAGCTGCTTGAGTATCCTTACCATTTCTAGGTTCGTCTTGAGTGGAACATCTACTCCAGAAAGCTGCTAAATGATGGCATTGCTCAACATTTGCAAAAAAAAGCAAATGAATTGCATTGCAAATACCTGATAATACATCCAATTTTTCTTGCTGCGAGCCAGAACTTTGATGCAGGCCCATGTAGAATTGATTATCTCAAATGATCCCCATTCAATATCTGGCCGATGCTGTAAGTTTCTTCAATTGTATCGTTCTAAAGATTCCTGAACTTATGTTTGTCGCAATCTGAGAGGAATGGAAATCAATATTGAAATGTTTTTGCCATGAATATCGCTCTCATTACAGTCAAAAGACTTCGACATCTAGTCAGCAGCCGCTTTCGACTCTACACATTTCTTCTCGCTGTCAAATGAGACTTTTCTGTTCACCTTCTGAGCATCACATTATTAGTAATCTATAATAGTGAGTTTCAAAGACACCGTCCACCATACAGTTGCAACGGTAGAAATTGTCCAAAACTGCATACTGGATTGTCGGGATTCGCGGAATTCGCGGGATTCGCGACTTCACGGGATTTGCGGGATTCGCGGGATTTGCGGGATAAGCGGGATTTAGCTATAACTTCTTTTAAAACAATTTTATATGAAATCTGCAAGAAGATGCGGCTTTAGCTTGATGAGACGAATCTTTTGATATACAGTATGTCCGATACTATACTACAATACTATAAGAGAGGAAGCGATAAATTTCTAAACTACATTTCTTACTGTATGTCAGAAAAGATCCAATTTTGTGATATCATCAGTAATAAATGTTAAAATGATCATATCAATGACAATGAAAGATAAGAATGGCTTAAATTCATGCGGTCGATTCCCACGTTCATCTTCCATGTAGGTGCAGAATTTCAGCCCAGGCTTCGGCGTAAAGCGAGTTGAAGCAAAAATGCCATTTTAGGTAAGAATTGGCAGCAGTGGCATGTGCCGATGAGAAATCGATCGATTGCTGGAGCGAGGAATCTACCAATTGCACCGAGCAATAGAACTAGAAAAGCCTGTAGATCACTTATAATTAGAGAAAGAGCGATAGAAATTCACTCAGCGTTTCCTACAGTACTTTTCTTACCATATGCCAAAAATGATCCAAAAATGTGATATTATCAGTGATAAATGATAAAATGCTTATAGTGAGTAATAAGGGTGAATAAAAACTGCCCAATTTTTCGCGATAGTTTTCGATAATGAGAATTTTGTACCAGAACCTGCTAATCGCGATTAACGCTGTGATAAATGTTCACAAAAGCCTTAACATAGAAAACAACAAGGTATCATTGTATGTCTACCCCGTCATTACGAATTACGGACATACTGTATATCAAAAGATTCGTCTCATCAAGCTGAAGCCGTATCTTCTTGCAGATTTCATATAAAATTGTTTTAAAAGAAGTTATAGCTGAATCCCGCTTATCCCGCAAATCCCGCGAATCCCGCGAATCCCGTGAAGTCGCGAATCCCGCGAATCTCGACAATCCCGCGAATCCCGACAATCCCGCATTTTGGACAAATTCTACCGTTGCAACTGTAAGTTGAGGGTCTTGAGATGATAGTAAGGTCCCCTGTCAGGCCACTGCTTGAATCGCGGCGCAAAATGTCGCTTCGGAAGCGAGAAATCGATCCGGAATAACGAAGATGCACGAGGACCCCAGACGGCACCGCCGTCCTCATCTATGCCTGCCCATTTGCGCGCGCCCATCCCACTGTTACGGAAAGCAGGCCTGTGGATTTCCGGAACGGGATTGTCGGGGTTTTCGCGGATTTTCGACTTCATATTTGGAATCAGAGACATGAGAAGGTCCTGAAAGGACAAAAATCTTAAAGTCGATGTAGGTGGACGATGCCTCGAAACAGCGCCCCTTGGTTGAGCTTTCAATGTCGCATTACACTAAGCTCTCACCTCAATCCGTGGACCAAGCCCTTTAGCCTCTCGCCGGTCCCAATACGTAAATGTGTGTTTGCCGCTGGAAAAAGGCGTCTTGGAAGTTTTGCGTAGAATACCCTGATGATGCGTCGCACAAAAACCTAACTTTTTTTAGTTCAAGCAAAAATCTTTTGGAAGGTCTATTTAAAAACAACTTGCCATAGATCTAAGTCGACAGGGTCTGTCGAAATCGCAGCACACAGATATCTTGGCTATCGCGCGTTCGCGTCCCATACTGTATGTACCAGAGCGCAAAGCATTGCCAGGAGGAACA